GCAAAAAAGATGTTCGTCTGGTTTTATAGGTTTTGTACTAATGAAAAAATGTTCGTGACATTTTCAAAAAATGTTTATACATTGAAAACAAATGTTTCTTGTTATTTAGAAACAAGTTACACACCACTCAGAATAATAGTCATGACATTAAAATAATATTCCCATGCTTCGGAAAAATAGTCATGGTATTAAGAAATGCTCATGTAGTTTAAGAAAATGTTTCCTATGATTCAAAAGAAATATATATATATATATATATATATATATATATATATGAATATATTTACTATTTTAGAAAAATATTCCGAACATATGTCTAGAAAAGTTTAGTCATGTATTATGAAAAATATTCAAAGTGTAAGAAAATATAAAAAACTGAATAAAAAAGGTAAAGGACCATAGAGACAAAAAAAATGAAAAAAGAGGAATAAACCCAAAATAAATCGTGCACAAAAAAATAACCACAAAGAAAATAACAAAATCGAACGTTAAAAAGAAAACCACAGCAAAGCACACCAGACCGAAAAAAATCGGTGCACAAAAGGAAGAACGATATTTCCTCCGCGCACGAAAAAAAGATAGTTGCGGCAGGCCCGTTCGGGAGATCATCTGTCTCGCATATGCGAGAGATAATCATGGCGATATATCTTTCCAATTGAGGCGATATATACCTCTCTTTTCATTTTATTATTTTTTCTTACGTTTTCTTGTTTTCTCTCACCCCATTAAAAATCGTCAAAATATTCAATACCAAGTTTCATTAACTCAATAAATGTTTGTGACTTAAATAAATGTCCGCGAATTGAAAAAGAATGTTCATGAATTTAAAAATTGTTTGTGTATTTTAAAAGAGCCCCACGAAATTCTAAAAAAGTTCGTGGAATGATAAAAAATTTGCGAACAATCTCTGAAAGGTCTGTGGTCTTTATAAAATTAGAAAATTTTCTCATTCTTTTTTTTTTGAAAATCAAGAACATTTTTTGAGAAAAATGAACATTCAAGTTTTCGAATTGAAAGAAGAAAAATACTCCCTTCATTCCTAAATATTTGTTTTTTAGAGATTTCAAATGAAATACCACATACAGATGTATATAGACATATTTTAGAGTATAGATTCACTAATTTTGCTCCGTATGTACTCAGTTGTTAAAATCTCTAGAAAGACAAATATTTAGGAACATAGGGGGTATAAGATAAGTAAAGAAGAACCAAATAAAAAAAGAACACTGAAAAAAAAAAGGAAAAAGGAAACTGAAAACTCGGAAAGGTAGGAACCTTTTTGGATGGGCGGATTCTATTTTGCGCATACGTCAGGGGTTAGCTACCTGACGCGTAACCAAGACCTGCGATATTTGTTGTAATTGGGCTGGCCTACTTCTGCCCCCCCCCCCTCCCCACTGATTTTCAGAAGGTTTTCTTCCCTTTTTCCATATCCGCGAACAATTTTCATATTAATTAATTTATAAAAAAAATTCAAACATTTTTTATAATTTTAGTAACTTTCGAAATATGGAGCGTTTTCTGAATTCATGAACATTTTGTTAATATGACATTTTTTGAATTTGTAAATATTTTTAGAATTCGGAACATTTATTGACATCGATTTTTTAAATTTTAATTTTTATTTCTAATCCTTAATTTTTCTGAAAATTGGTCAAAGTTTTGGAAATTAGGTACATGTTTTAAAATTCATATATAATTTCCAAAACGGGAAGATTTTTCAAATTCGTGAGTATTTATTAAATTTGGAACAATTTAAAATTCGTGATTTTTTCGACATATAGGAACATTGTCCAAATTTGTGATGAAATTCAGGACATTTTTTTTTAATTCAGAACGAGTTTTGAAACTTGGGAACATTTTTATATTTAACAATCATTTTTGGAAATTCTTCTTTTTAACATTGTATGTTATCCAGAACGGCCTTTTAGAATTCAGGAGTTTCGAACTTTTTTTCGAAGCTAACAAAGAAAAAATAACAGGGGCGCCCC